CCGTTTCTATCGAAATCCAAAGATCGCCGAGTTATGATCGAGAGCAGAGAGTCTGGAAACACGCTATTGCAGCTATAAAATATACCCGATCCCGCATTTCTGGCCTTCTTCATTACCTTCTTACTTCCGGTGCTTTACTCCAAAACAAGCATGCCACGCTTTTATGGCTCTTCTCCCGTCCAGAAAACGCCAATGGCCCGCACGATGAGCTGTCCTTCCTTTGCGCCTTTTTAAAACCACATGTGCGAATATCCGATGTCGCAGTGTTCGTGGGAAGAACCAAACAGCTCAATCAATTGGCTCATGAGAAGCGCCTGTCGACAAAACCCGTTGTCGCCAACCCATGTCGGTTGTCGGGACTAGAGAGAGAGAGAGAGGTATAAATTCCTCTCTCGTCGGCTTGGAGATTGGCTTTCTATATCACACTCTTTCTGCGGTTCTCAAAAATGTCATTCAGATGGCCGGCATGTGCTCTGCTCTTCTTCTCAAAAGCTAGCCAAAGACGACTCATGTCTTCTCGGCCTTCTTCTCGACCCATCATACCAACATTTGCTCTCTGGCAGCTACATCATACTCGAAACCGCACAAGAGCTTGTCATGCGGACTTTGCTTCTCCAAACAATCTCAGAAATTGGCTATGATTTCGCCGGCCCAATTCTGCCGCATTCATACCTCAGAAGCTCGGTATAAAAGGCCTTCTGTCGTTGTTCCTTCCTGGACTTCTTCATCTACCAATTCCTTCATTTCTTTTACCAAAATCACGAGAATTGGCACGCATGGGCGTCTGTCGGCCTCTCAAAGCAACGACATACAGAATTATGTCCTCCCTTTTTCCCTTGTCGCCAAAAGCATCGAGGCCAGGTCTATGGAGAACCAGGTCCCGTTCCGAAAAACGACTGTGGGGTATATACATGAGCAGCGTGCCTCTGAACTAGATGGACATCAACTCCATGAGTTCCGGAGTACGGTAGATTGCATATAAAATACTTTGCTCTTCCTCTGCTTCTTTTCTTCTACACCAACACACTTCCCATAATTTATCAAAATTGGCTAGAGTTGATAACATGGCTCGGCTCTTCCCTGGAAGACTCCCACACATTCTCTTGGATACTTATTCCACCCCAAATCCATACTCTACTCCTGTTTCAAAATAATTCAAGACGTCTGTATGACGAGTTCTGGTCTTCTGGAATGTAATATGCCAAGACGCCGGATATGGTCCGCGCGTTTCGATCTCATGAAAGTCTCATGATACTGATTTATAATCGTGCAGCGGCTATTACTATGACTAGCGCGAGCGCTGCGTGCATAAAAGCTCTTTCCTCGCTGATAGCTTTCTTCATTCTATACTCCACGCTCTTGTTGGCTTTTCCAAAATGGCCACGCAAGCTACAAATGGCCTCTCTGGCTCTTTCTCAAAAGTTTATCGGTTCATTGCAATAAGTGCTTTGGCTGTTCGTCCTCTCTTCTTCTAAAACGTTTAACTGCGCTGGCATGAGCGAGAAAGGTTTTCCTTCGCTAGAAATTACATCAAGAACAGATGTTCAAACTACGGCAACAAGAATCGATGTCTTGCTCCTGGCGATCGACGAGAAACTGCAACAGATGACCGCCAGCGTGTCCAACGTAGCGTAGTACTTTTGGGTACAGTACAGTATACGTTGTACTTTAGGCTGTACATATAGAAGCTATTAGGGGCCTGTACTATAACTATACTTTACTATTACTAAGTATAGTTACCTAATTAGGCCTAGCGCTTACCTAATTAAGTAGTACAACGTAATTTTAGTATAAATGTACTATATATATAACTGTACGTATAATATTAGAAACTAGACTATACGTACCTCTAACTGCTCTTAAAAGTACCGTACTATGTTACGTTAGACACGCTGATGACCGCCATGGTTCTCTGCTTCCTCCGCAAACTTCACTGTTGAGAATTTGATTACTCAAACAAGATGAAACAGTGCGCATGACTGGTGCAGCACTGTTACCTCAAAATACCACACAAAGACCGGTATGCGCGCTCCTGCAGCGTCCTCAAAACTTGTTACGGAAGTCCCATGAGCTTGGGCGCTGAAAACTGTGGTAGCGACGCCATATGTCTCCAAAACAACATGGAGCCTTTCGATGTCGTGGCGAGACGTTTCGAAATGCTACGTCGTCCTCTCAATGTGGCAGATTTCGCTTGCAGGTGGTATAAAAGGCCAGTGAGCCTGTCTTCTTCTTCCTTTCCTCTTCCACCACCATATTAGGCTCACGGAAAAGCCTGATACGTGCACTCTTGGGCGGTTGGATCATTCCTTCGAAAGTCAACGAGAAAGATCTGATGTGCTGCTGTTGCGCTCACCTTCCCGGTTGATGGAGTCAGAAGTACAGAAACGAGCGCGTGTGAACAATGAAAGCTACAAGGTCATGACTGTTCGAAACGGGCGTCGTAACGATGGATGGTCGAGAAACAGCCTGCCTTATCGTGAGCGTTCTACCTAGGTATCGGGTGGCCTGCCGGCTTTTGCGTGGCTGGCAAGCTGCTGACGTATTGGAAACCTTGGAAGCGTGGAGGCAGTCCATAGGACTGCAAGGGCGCCGAAAGTCATACTATTGACAGGAAGATTACGACTTGGTGGTCAAGAGGCGTAGGCTGAAAAGCTGAAGCGTGCATGCAAACAAGGTAGCCCCGTTGGACGCCACAATGCATCTGCCGCTTACTTCAGCAGAGGGGCCAGCTGAAAACCTTTTGCACGGCCAGCCCGAATGATACCTAATTCCTCTGATTTCCTCTTCATCGCGAAATCTGTTTATGTCTTCAATAAAAGGACAACGAACACGGTTACCTCCCCGCACTTTCCCGTACTACCTACATAGATAGGTACCGCTTGATTCGGTACGCTTATCTTCGCGCCAATCCCGATGGAGGATAGCCCACTTTCGATCACCGCAAACATCGCCGGCATTCTCACGTTTGTAGCAGCCATCTTTGCGTCCATCTATGTTCGCTATGTATCTTTACGAAATGGCAGAGTCGAAATGGAAACGATTTGGAATGCTGCTAAAGACAGCATGGATGATCTGGAGATGATGGACGCGCACAGGTCGTTCCGAGACATTGAGGGAAACCTTGAACACCTTCGCATCAAAGAAGGCGACGAATCCGATATCGTTTGGTTGAAAAGGCTGGGTGCGTCGTTGATGGCCACAGAAATAGTCATTTACGTTTACTGTGCGCGCTCTCTGAATATAGATACAGCAAATGTGGAGCATCTACTGTTATCCACGCAGTGCGTGGGGATTACTTCTGAGACGTTTTCCGATGCAGCACAAGAGATCAGAGAAACTTCGAGGGTGAAGAAGAATAGCATCATTGGACGACTCTATGGAGGAGAGCAAATCCTTGATCTAAGCCGTTGGACATACTTGGACATTCTGGCAGTAGCTCCGCAAATTGTGCTCGCGATTGGTTCATCTCCGTCCTTGATCCGGTGGAGTCGAGTTCGAGAGAGGGCTCTGAAGAGGGTGCGTGGCAGGGAAATCCTACGATCACGGTTATTGTCTCACCAGGTCTCCATGGCGAACTCGTAAGTGTGGATAAGATGCCGGCTCTGGGCGACCTAATTAATTATTTGACAGTGCGGCAAGACAGAGCAACAAGATAATACGGCAAGTGGCAAACCTACAGATGCACCTTGATGAGAGATTCGAAGACCTCAATCAATCGGTGAAAATGGTACTTGATGTGTTGGCGAAACAACAAAGGATCGACGGTTGTGGTAATACAGCAGACGAGCGATCGGTAGCGTCGCTTGATCACCAAGAAAGCTCTCACTTGCCTGTGAACAGCGAAGTTGCTGGAGATTGAACCTGGCAGTTGCCGGGTATAAGGTTGCCAGGTGCGAAATTGTTTCTCTATCACCAAATACAATACTTCGCGCGTCATTGTCAGCAAGCTCAACTCAATTGCCCGTCAGCCGACTTCTCAATCATCGTAATACCCCTGGCTGACGTATAGTTGCGAAGGCCTTGCACAAACTCCAAAAAACGATCCGTGACAAGATACCTACTTCCATCCTCACCCACCTTAATCTGCGTAAGATGAGCGTCAAGTACCTCTTTAGTACACCTATCCGTTATGTCAAAAGCTTCTCTAATATCGCTTTCCTCCTGCCCCCGAATCCGATGACCTCTTATCACGATCCGAAAATCCACTACCATACCATGTGTGTCTAGATAGCGCAGCATGCTGAACACAGTCGCAAAGACCAACAATCGCGATACCAAGGGGAAAGATCGATCGTCTCCTCGACGGGGATCGTCCCAGATGGACAGACCGTATGGTCCGTTCAAGCTCAAATCGACGCCAGCTCTTCGCAGGAGCTCCACGCTTCCCATACTTGGACGGTAGTACTCGCTATCTGGATCTTCGGGACGATCTTCTAATGTGATTGTACGTAAGTTCGGCAGCTTTTGGACGATGATACTTTGCAGCCAAATGCGCAAGTCGACGGCCTTGCCCTCATTAGCTATCATAGCGCGCAGCGCACGGGGATAGGACGTCGGTGCGTGTTCGTATTGTTCAAGTGTTTCGGTGCCGATGATCATATGCTTGATCTCGTTGGCGATGTCGGGGGATGCCGCGGCATCACTCAGTGCTTGTATGCTGATGCGGATTAGAGATACCTTCACGGTTTGGAAACGAAGACAGAAGCTGCGCCATGTCTTTGTGTGAAGTTCTTTGTTGACGAGGCGGAGAAGACCTAGGACTCCTGCCCTGAGAAACGAACCAATGAGCGTGATCAATTCGGTAGGTAGACTAAGTAAATTGGGCATAATGGGACGGTTTGGCTCATGTCAGAAGCGCTCGGAGTGTCACCCCATATACTTTGTTCTGAGTTTGCTGCTCGTCATCGCCTGATCACGGAACTGTCGTTGATAGGAGAATGACACATGAAACAAGCATCATAAGATCTATCTCATCCATCTAGTCTAAGCTCCTCCCCACCTCATCTCTTCGCAACGATAGTACACGGCTCCGTCATGTACCACGTCCGAAGCTTCGGCTCGCCCAGAACATTGCCACCCTGAAGTAGCATTTGATCGTCATTCTTCATATCATCCTCGTCTCCACCTCCCATCTTGATGAACTCCGCTTCATCAACTGTTGCACCAACCTCGTATGTACCCCCGCACAACGCAACGATGCCAAGCTCAGACTCCACCGTCTCTCCAGGCTGTATGACCGGCAACTTGCGCTGCAGAACACCTGTCCACGAGAAGCGCTTGTCTAGATCGAGTGCGACGTTGTGGGGAAGACCGGCGACGTGAGGCTGTAGTCTGAGTATAGGCGAGACGGGGCGTGGACTTCGGTTGCGGACGAACGTCTTCATAGTGAGGAACTCGTCTATCGGCACCTCGAACTTTGCGCGGCCGACTTGTCGCACAAATTCTTCGCCGCCCGCTGCAGGGTAGTCGGAGACGATGGTTGTCTTGATGGCGAGATCGTCAAGCTTGATAGCCTCGACCATGCGCGGCGTGAAGCGGATGCTGCGCAATTCCAGCTCGCCGTGACGTCCATTACCATCCTCCGTCCACGTTCCGCGCACGATCTTGAGTAGCTCTTCACGATACCAGAAAGCTTCTCGACTCGCGCGTTCGGTCTCGGGAGAGATCTTGCTCGTGCTGACGACGAATTGGCGTTGGTTGGCGGGGTTGAGCGACGGTACAGCCGCATGTGGGGCTTTCAAGTAGACCTTTGGAAGGATCATGACGACTCTGCTGACATGCCCCGGTTGTATGACTTCGTTCACACTATGCGCTTCGTTCCATGAGTCGATGGTGTAGTTTCCATCAGCCATGGGCTTTCGGGCTTGGAGCAATATCGATAGCGGGTTTGGCCAGGAGTTCCTGAGATCTAGGAGAAGCATGCAATACTCTTCATCGCTATCATCACTCTGCTTTTGACTGATGAAAGACCGAAGATGACCGTCGGCTTTGCCAGACGACTGTGATTGCGAGGCTTCGTCTTCTAATTGAGTGCGCGAGCCTGAGGATGCATCGCTAGACCAGGCAATGTCGCCGGATAAGGGTACTATATCCGGTCGCTGAAGCTGCACACTTGCGTTCACGGTAATCGAGATGGGCGCAGATACCTGGCGGGTGAAGAAGTGCTCCTCTACTTCCGATCTTCGTTTTCCAAGGTTGGCATAGTCGATTTGTATAGTTGCATCCGTCAGTCTTGTGCGACCGATAACCTCGATGGTGAACTGCGCTTCAGCGCCAGGCTTGATGCTCGGTGAATCCTCGGCCCCATCCTTGCACCAGCGCAAGGACGGATGATGGGCGAGCTGGACTTCCAACTCATGCAATTCGGCTGCAGGCAAGTCTTTGTTGGAAGTCGCCGCTTGTATCGCAGTGGTCGCCGTATCCTGGAAGGAGATGTGGACGAAGTCGACAGTTGTTTCAGTCGAAGTATTCTTCACTGTAACAGTAAATCGTTTCCTTTCGCCTTCAAGCACCATGACGGCTGACTGCGGTAACGAAACATTGGTGATTATAATGACGGGCTGGTCTGGGATTACCGAAAACGTCAAAGACTCCGGCTTTGGCTGAGACGTTGCTCTACTGTCGATGGATGGTGCGATTGCCGAGGAGGGCCGGGATGTTGGTGCCCCTAAACATGCCTTGAGGCCCATGCGCTTCATTTTAGCTTCTCTCTTCGGCTTCCATGGCTCTGGGAATATGGGGAACAGCCGCTCTCTGCAGCCGATAAGCTTGACGTAGCATCCAATGATCTTCAACGACCCTGATGTCCGCGCAGTCCCTGTGATCTGGAACTTCTGAGTCCTGTAAGGGCCCAGTAGGAAGTGTTCCTCCAGCGCGACAAACTCAACACCTTCAGCAGCTATCTTCAACGACTCTACGCCAAGCTCAAACTCATATGGATTCTGCATGGCTATGACGAAGCGATAGTGCTCGTTCGCGACCAGGACTGTATTTGCAGCATTTGTATGCGGCTTCTTCAGCCAGGCATTGTGAAGAAAAGGGCCGTCTTTTCCTTGGCTGTCCGACTTCAACTCGATCCCCTGTCTTTGAGTTAATCGGAGAGGTTCCATTTCCTCGAGAATGAACAACCCGCGCACAAGGAAGTCATCCCAGTATTCTGTTTCTACATGTTGTAGTCCAAGCTTCTTAGCGGCAGTGACGGTTCTCGAGATGTTGGAGTACAGTCGGATCTGCTCATCTCGGGGAAGAGAGACGAACACATCGGTGCTATTAGGTCTCGGTGCTGTTCCGGGACCCGCCACCCGAAGCAAAAGAGCAGTGAAATGGAGGACGCCATTAAAGTCTGGTAATGCTTCGCAGAAACTCAGACACGTTCGTAATATCTCTAGCTTGAGACTCAAACTTCCGAAAGAGCGCAATGACGATATCGCCAGTATGGTGTCAACGACGCGTTGACTAGCAATGCTGTCCGATGCACTTTCCGCGTTCTCATCTCTCTGACTGGGCATCCCAATATTGGGCATGTTCCCTTTCGAATTCGGTATCCCGTATATCCGGCCTAGCAAGCCTAGGAATTCCTCAATCCCATTCTCGACTTCGCCTTCGCCTAGATTGAGAGCACCACTCCCGGAGCTACCGCCGCTTGCGATGTTGAGAGCGGCAAGGCCAGCAGCTGGATGTACTCCCATCTCTGCTGCGCCAACCTTGCGGGCCTGTATCAAGCCAGGAACCAAAGACGTGATAAACTCCTTCATGACGATGGCTTTCTTGCGTTGTAGGCCTAAGGACGATAAGATCGAGGCAACACCAGCAAGCACTACGACGCGATCTGTGGGGTTCATGCCCGAGCTCTCCGCTGGTCCAGGTAATGCACGAAATAGCATAGACGCTATATCATTACGCGTAGGGTGTACACTAAGCCTCGGAACCGAAAGGCGTGGCTTTTGCTTGTATGGCGTATTCTGCACAAGCTGGCGTAATGCATCATCATCTAGAAAGCCTCCGGATAAGTTGATGGCGGCCAGCAACTTGGAAAAGCGTATTACACATTCGGAAAACGCGAGCGGCGGCAAAGATTCGCCAGCGAAATTGGCCGCACGGGTATAGAGGTTCAGTATCATGTTGACCATGTCTGGAAGCATGGAGTTCAGAGCGTCCAGTGCGTTATCATGTTTGTGAGGTTTGGCGGGAGTCGAAACGTCAGAGACACTACTCGACGGTGTATGAGTGGGTGACTTGTTGCCTCCAGACTTATCGGATGTCGGATAGCAGATTGGGGGTATCTTGATGGTCAGTAAGATGATCAGACTGACATCATGTAAGAGTTGGACTGACCTGGAAGTCCATGCCTGACCATGCAAAGAGAAGCATGCAGACCATAATGTGTTCGAGAGCTTTAGCATGCCACAAATGGTCACTAAGAGCACGTGCTCTTGTCGCGGCTTCTGTGAGCTCTCGTACAGCCTCGACCCACTGGCCTGCGCACATGTACAAGGTACCGATCACGATCCCAATACGACCGCGTCCCTTGTTTCGAGCTCTTTCACCGACCCCGCCGGAACCAAAACCTGTAATCGACACGCGGTCCGCTGCGTTCTTGGTTGCGGAGCTAGGCCTGGCAGGATTGCTGTTTGTTTGATGAAGCGTATTGGCAGCATTGATACCGGAAATTTCGTCGAAGGTTGTCGGGGGTGTGCGTGTACCTTGTGCACTCAATGAAGCGGTCCTAGGGTCTTCGGTAGACAGGGGTCCTCCGGAACTCGATGGCAAGACAGGCATTGACGCGCGGTGACCGTCCTTCAGCGCATTTCCTACGGGTGACTCCGGTCTACTCCCACTTGGTGTTTGCGAGTTGCGACGCGAGAATTGCGAAGTAGAGTCAGATGCGGCCCAGCTTGGCGTGAGCTCCGCTGTGCCATTTTGAGAAGCGGGCGAAACTAAAGTAGGAAGTGCCTGTATGGACTTTGCCAGAGTGGTCATTTCCGCTAGCAAAGTTGCAGTCAGATCGCACATGAAAGTCTTCATCGTCGTGGTCTTTAGCTGTGATCTTGGTGGGATCAAGAGTGTCTCTTGTGGTAGGCGAGGATGTCGTGATGGAGTTGCTGAATCAAACAGCATGATGCTGTGGAGATAAGCCCGAGGAAACTGTTCTCTGAGATCGTCGATACCGAATTGAATAGCATTAGCTTCATCATCGCCGGCCGGGGGTTCTTCAAATGTCGTGCTTGGGGTTCCGTCAGTCCCACGTGATGGCTGCAGCCAGGCATATTCGGACGCGTCTCCGATTCCGATGACCAGTAGAGGCTCTCTGAACTGTTCGAAAGGTGACAGTGATAGATGAGATGCTGATGGCATAGAAGTCGATAAGTCATAAAGTAAAGTTCCGTCAGGCCATGCTAAAGGAGAGAACATATCTATCGTTGCCAAGATCAGCAAACATCAGCGCTGATTTGGCACATGAGGGCTCATACTCCGGTCAGGTCGCGGATCAGGGCTGATATCGCCCAGTCGAACCAGCGACTCTTGCTGCAAGAGGTCGACAAAGGCTATGAAGCGCGAACGCTTGATGCGACCCACGGGGAGAAGCAAGGCCCTAATGCGCGCAGGCGCGATCGGGGACAGAGGGTCGACTGCCATCGCAACATCTGGAAGCTGAAGACCTAGTGGCCAAAAACAATATGCTTGATCAAGAAGATGACGCTGTGCTGGCGGGTGCTTGCATGATGCGTCGAATATTCGGACGGTGAAACGGTTGGCGATCCTCAAAGCTTCGGCCTCGTGGCGGTGGCCCGAACAAAGAAGACTAAGCCGCTTTCGCTGTTGGCCCCTGCGTCAGCGCCTGCAACAACAAGTGCCACACGAAACACGACATCTCACCCACACCCCTTCGCCTCCCACCAGGCTGCACTGTTCTCTTTGATATGTTTCCTACGTCTTGCATAGCGTGAGCATATCCGGAGTTTGTCTTTTGTTGCGAAACGTTATTCTGCGTCTGGCTGGTTCTCCTGTCTTCGCCACCGCCGCCCACGGTTCTTACAGGCTGCCTGGCCCAACGAGCACATTCTCATTACAAGCACATCCGCATTCCGGACACGTATTTCACTCGGCACCGTTAGCGGAGTAGATTAAGAAGACCTCTTTACGTTTGGAAGACTCCTAATCCTATTTGATACATTCCTGGGCTGTCAATACCCTCAACTCCGAGGTCCTAGCAAACCCATCGCCACTGTAGCTTCAGATCTCCAAAAACATCGTGCTGCACACCTTCGGAAGGCGCCTTCAAGATGGCAGCGATAGATTTTGCGCGGCTGCGCAACCAAACGATGGCCGATGGCTTCGACAGCGAGGTCACGGTCAACACCCGGGCTTTGATAGACAAAGTTCTAGCGCGTTACTCCAGCGAGCACACAACCTTGCGAGAATTGATACAAAATGCTGCAGATGCGAAGGCAGATCAAGTCATCATCAAATTCGAGACCGACCCATCTCTTACTGTTCCTACACCTCAAGGCGCCGATGATCCCATTCTACTGAAGCACATCATCCAACATCACACTCTCAAGCGACTCGTTGTTAGCAACAATGGTCAGCCATTCACGCCCGCGGATTGGAGTCGTTTGAAAAGCATCGCGGACGGTAATCCGGACGAAACGAAGATTGGGGCTTTCGGTGTCGGATTCTACAGCGTGTTCGCCGATTGTGATGAGCCCTTCGTCGTTTCAGGAGACAGGACTATGGCGTTTTATTGGAAGGGTAATATGCTTTCAACCAAAGCCGCCCCAGTACCGGCTGAACATGAATCGAGAGACACCATCTTCATGCTGGAATACCGGCAAGCAAAAGTCGAATCTGCGTCTTACAATCCATCAAAGCTTCCGAATCTGCCCACGTTGTGTCAGTTTCTGGCCACGAGTCTCACATTCGTTGGTTTGCAAAGTATCGAGCTTCACGTGGACGACTACGTCGTTGCGTCGTTCACCAAGAAGATCTCACCCCCAGAAATGGTACGTGTGCCTAATGGACTGAAGACCGAGACCGAAGGCGGCTTGATGCGGGTGACTGATGTCACGCAACAACACTCTCAAATTGATGCGGCCTGGATGAACGTCATTGCTACTGCTCAGATACCCCCAAAGAAAGCTGCCGACCTCGTACAACAAGAAGTTCGCAACGCAGGTACTTCATTACGGAGTTTCTTCTCAAAATTCGCATCAGCGCCTCCTCCGCCGCCCACAAAGAACGTCAAACCCGCGGCCGAGAAGACCAATACTATTGAAGAGATAGCAGGCGATTCGACTGGCACCATCTTCTTGCAAGTATGCACTGTGGTGGCAGCCACTAAAGTCTCACGAAATTTCGCTGCGGAGATCGAGCGCGCAACTAAGAAGTCACCTCCGAAGACGACTAAAATCGCTCTTTTAACTTGTCCATACCAGGATCCATCAGCCACGTTGGCTACGGGCTCTGGCAGTTCAGCTGCGCTTGCCGACAAAATCTTTGCAGAAGTTCTTCCGACAAAATCTGGACGAATCTTTATTGGATTTCCGACTGCCCAGACGACGGGCTACCTTGCGCACATCTCTGCGCCATCTCTCATCCCGACAGTTGAGCGCGAGAATGTCGACATGAACGCTCGCTACATTTCTACCTGGAATATCGAGCTTCTGCGCGTTGCAGGGTTAGCCTGTCGCATCACCTATGCAGCAGAATTGGCAGCTTTGCAGACCCAATTCGGCAAAGAACCCATGGAGACCTTGATCACGAAGACTGCTTACGTGTTCAAACAATACACGGCCAAATCATCGCACCCTTCCACATCACTTGGAGATAAGATCGACGAGGCGTTCTGGAATTGTTCGAAGGAACGATCCATCGACATCCTTTCGACCAAAGGTGTCATGTCCAGTAAACGTGTGCGTATGCCTGCAGAAACTCTCAGCTTCCTAGGAGAAGTACCCATGGTCCCACAAGAACTCGCGAATGCAGCAGTCGACTTCATGCTCAATTTACACAATCGCGGTTTCATCACAGAGCTCACAATGCAGGATATCCGTCAGGGATTAGAATCACGAGCACTCAGCGAAGATGAACTCTCCGAGTTCCTCAAGTGGTGTGGATCTAAGCTGGAAAGCGGCGAAATTGATGTACCCGGCTCTCGTAGCTTGTTCGAAAATACAGTCGCCAATATCGACATTGAGCCAGAGAAGAACTCTGGCAGGATACTCGCTTTGGGCGATATTAGCACGTTCGTTAACCCAGCGCGTATCGGCGCACATCTACCTCTTCCGCCAGACACTATTCCTTTCTCCTTCACCAGAGGCATGTCGATCAAACAACTGCAGCTCTTCGGCTGGGTGGAGCTATCGATGGTTCGCTGGCTACGACACATGACAACACGGCCGCAGCTAGACGAGTTCACCAAGGATGAGAATCTTGCTCTCTCTGTGCTAACGCTGACATCTAAGTGCTGGGAACAACTCGATGGAAATTCTAAGGAGACGGTTGTCAAGATCTTGACCCCACACTCGATCCTGCCGACGAAGATGGGCATGCGGCGACCGGCGGAGTCGTACTTCCCTACTGTCAAGCTGTTTGACGATCTGCCAACTGTGACACCGTTTGCAGGCTCGAAGGAGAAGTTCCTATTGGCGCTCGGTGTTCGGAAGACTATCGATCTTCCTATGGTGTTTGATCGAATGCGCAGTCGCGACGCGCAGCAGTCGGAAAAGTCTGAAAAGCCGACTTGGAATCATGTTGACCTTATCCGCTACTTCGCGTCGGTCATAAACGAAATACCTGCGAAGGATCTTAGTCGTCTACAGCAGACAGCGTTCTTGCCGGGAGAAGGTACTCTAGCAAAACCTGGCGAGCAGTTCAAAGCTTCAGATCTTTATGCCCCCGACCCGGCTATTGTAGCTCTAGGCCTGACTCAGATCAAGCTGCCTTTCGAATTCAAGCCCACTACACGAGAAGGTGTATTGCTACTGCGTCTTGGACTACGACAGTGCCCAGATTCCATCACCGTCGCAAATATACTCCATCGTGCCGGTCAAGCCAAGGATCTTCAGCTGTACATGCGTGCGATGGATTACCTGTTGACAAACTACTACAAAAATAACTACGCTGTGGAGCATCAGAAGTTCGCTGCCCTCACCCTCCCGATTTTACCGACAGAACAGGCTCCTTTCCCGGCGTTGGTTGGTCCGTTCCAGTGCTACACCAATGAGCACGCAGCATGCCTAGGATTTCCCATCCTAAGAAGCGATCTTCGGAGCCATGCCGAGAAGCTAGGGGTACAGCGTGATCCGAGCATAGGCCCATGTGTTCAATACCTCATGAAGACACCTCCCAAAACTAAGCTCGATGCAGAAATGCAGTTTGCTTATCTTGCCTCGCGCGGGTCCGAACTAGACCAATACAAAGGGCTCATACAGAACCTCGCGACTTCCAACATCGTACCAATTTTTCGGAAGTACTACCTTGACCCCGCTTGCAGCGGATTCGAAGATAGATCCAAGAATCAGACTGGCAAGACCGAGATGCGCATCCATCATTACGATCCACCCGAGCATGTGTTCGTGGGTCGTGATCAAGAGTACCGTGGCATCCTCGATTACGTTCACTATGGCGCGGAAGCCACAGTCTTCCTTCTCAAGGTCGGCGCGAAGCATGAGCCCACTACTCATGATCTGGCGTACCTTCTCGCCAAGAACCCTGCCCGCTTCCTCAACACCATTGGACAAGAGAAATATCTCGATCTGCTGAGAAAGCTGGCCGAGCATGCTCCGAATCTGTGGAAGGATAAGGATCTGGTCAAATCACTCATAGCATCGAGGCTGCTTCTTGGCTACCGCGATATCAAAGAGGATAGTAAGAACGTCGCTGATGCAGGCGAAGACGACATTGATGATCTTGATGAGGACAACGTCCATCGCGAGTGGTCGCTCAACAAAGCTGGCGAGATCGTGATTATCGATAACGTCAACTATATGACACGGTTCCGCGACTTCATCATCGCAGCCCCACAGGAAGAGCTTCTCGAGGAGTTCTACGCTCGATTCGGAGTCCAGAAAGTCTCGGAGCTGGTCAAGACTGACCAACGCATCGGCACAGTAGCGCGCGACCAGACACCTGCTCAAGATCTTCGACGAGACATCCTGGAGCGCGTACGTCTCTTCCTTCACGAGTACGAACGCGATGCTTCTTCAAAGGCTATCAGACATGACGCCAAGTGGCTGGGTTCTAATTTGACGGTGCAATGTGTGTCGGATATCTCCATCCGTTATTCACTAGCGGAACGCAATGTCGCAACATCTTCACGTAAATCGGCTGTTATCATCAAGGTGCGTGGTACAGGGTACGTGCTTAGCATCACGCCGAAATACGATCTGTACGAGGTGTCAAGCGAACTGGTAAGATTGCTTGTATCGCGGCCGAAGCGCAACGACGCAATCGCGCTAGAGCGCATCTTGACTGAGCCTCTACGACGACTCCAGCAAAAGGGTATCAACGTCGAGCGCATCCTGCGAAAGAAAGAGCATGAAGCGCGTATTGCCAAGCAAGCCGAGCAAGAGCGCGAAGAAGAGGAACAGCAGCGAGTTGCCGAACAAGCCAAGTCTGGTCACGTCAAGTCTGAAGAAAGAGAGAACATTCCACCTGAGACTCCCGAAAAAGGCAAGCATATGCCTGGTGCGTTTGGTAGTCCAGAGGGTGGCATGGAGATCGCCAATCACGGCCGTCAACCAGAGGAGCAGGGTCTCATCAACAACTGGGCGAAGAAGCTCGGTTTCAAGAACGCACCTACCGCACCCTCCTCTTCCTCCAAGGGTACAGACGGTCCCCAGATCAGTCGCGACATCCAAGCTACGAAGTCGAACATCCAGAATGCCATCAAGGAATGTCGGCCCACTGGTATGGAAAACATCAACACCAAACATCACCAGGACCCGACGGAACTCGATCGTGGAGGTTACTGTACCGGCGAACAATGGGAGAACCTGCACAAAGCGTTTTCGGTGCCTTTCTCTGGCCGTCACGTCGACATCTACTATGGCCGCGACGAGACTGCACCGCTCACCGACCTGCAATCTCACCTCCAAAAGTTCTTACCGCTCATTTTTGGCCTGACTTCAATCTTCAGCGTCAACCCTGCGGCGGTAAACATCTTTCTCGACAAGAAGTCTAACACGGTGGCGTTCAACATGAATGGTAGTCTGTTCTTCAATCTCGCTTGGTTCATTGCCCTGCACAGCGACGGATGCCAGACTAAGGAAGGGAAGCTCACAGCTCTGGACAGTTGGTTCTGCACGTACTGTCACGAGCTTGCGCATAACCTTGTGGCCGACCACAATGCGCGACATAGCTGGTACCAGCAGCAGATCATCATAGAGTATAGTCAGCAGTACCGAGCTGCACTGGAGAACTTTACACAGGGTCTTTTGATATAGACGGGGCATGCTTATTACACGGATATACAGGTAGAGTTGCGCACTTCGGAGTCTGAGTAGTATTGCATTATTATTATCTCGAATACGATTAGACGCTCTCCTACCCTCCAATCTATTTACTTTGTTGTTGATCTATTTGATACCCATCGTCTTATCATCGTAAACGGTGAGATAAGTGTACTCACAGTAACTTGGGCATATTATTAGGTCGTAGGTGTTTCGTGCTCGATTACTCACTAATCCATCAGCAAACGGTTCACCCCGAACCCCGACGTCCCCGCCCCATCGCAAACGCGTGGACCACTCGCGTCTCTCACCGCAGTATTACCGCAAAATCTATCCTCACGACGCAGGTGAGTACCGACCGGGCAATGTCTCCATCGGACTATCGTGTTTGTATTGCAATAGAGGCGTATATAAACCTCTTTTACTGCTCCTCTCCTTCTACTTTCCACTCTCTACCCACTTCTCATCCCTTTCCCCAACATCATCAACTTCAGGTAGCCCACAAAGTCCCTATACATCTCACTGCCTCGATACTAACTCGAAACCAGCCAAAATGAGGTTCACCACTCTCTGCCTCACCGCCCTAGGCTTCATCGGCCTCGCCATGAGCCAAGGCAGCGAGACAACCCTAACAACAAGGCCATGCAACAACCCCAAGTACTGCACTACAGTACGCACTCCACCAGCCCGCTCCAACGTCTACACCTCCAAGGAAACCACCGACTCCACGGAACTCACCCGCACCATCACCGCGCACCGCCGCCAGCTCACCGTAGTCGAGTCTCACACCCGAGCCAGCGTCCACACCTCCAAGTCCATCAAGACGCACAAGCCTCCAAAGCCGTCCAAGACCAAGACCTCCGGGGACTCGGAAATCCCTAAGCCCTCCGAGGGTTTCGATGATTCGGTCAAGCCGACCCGGATGAGCGTCACCGCTCAGCGTCGCCAGGCCCTGCCAACTACTGCGACTTGCACTGAGATCACCTCTTGGGACTCGAAGACTTATGCGACTGCGATATCTACGCATATTCAATGCGGACCAGACAAGTCTAAGCCTACTTGCTCTACCTCGTATGAGTGTGGATGTCACTCCTCCGCCTTTACGAGAGACGATAATCCTGATATACATTTTTGCTGGCCCATGGCGACTAGCACTATCTTCCCCCCGGACTACGGCGGTGGACGGTCTCAGCGGTGGGTCGCGAGGCAGGCAAGGGCCACTCATGCGCCTAGACTTGCGTCTCAGGATCTCGGAGGTCGGTCTCAGCGTCTTGTTGCCAGGCAAGCAGTGCCGACATCAACTTGTTCTCCGGGCCATGTTGGAAGCGACTGCAGCGTTGTCGTCTCGCCGCCTAAACCGACGAAGTCTTGTCCTCCGGGTTGGGTTGGGCCTGACTGCCCTTTCGCAAGTCATGTTCCAAGCACCCCGACGGCTACGGCTACCAGAGATATTTACGCTCGTCAAGAGGCTGAAGCGGGTGGGAAGCCAGTCTACGTTGTCACGGTCACCCACGTTAAGCGTGTAACCGCTCGTCAAGAAGCTGGACCGACTGATTTAGTCGAGGTCATGACGAACACGAACACGAACACTAAAGAAGCTGGACCCATTGACCCGATCGTTGTCATCACTGTCACTAAAACTCACGATATTAATGAACGTCAAGAGCCTGAGCCGACTGACCCAGTCTACGTCGTCACAGTCACCGATATTATCGCTACTACCGCCCATCAAGAGCCTGAGCCAACTGACCCAATCTACGTCGTCACGGTCACCAACACCCTCGCTACCACCGCCCATCAAGAAGCCGAACCAACTGACCCAATTTACGTCGTCACAGTCACCGACACCGACGCTGCCAACCCACTTCAAGAGGTTGAACCGACTGACCCAGTCTACGTCGTTACCGTCACCGCCACCAACGCCGTCAACGCACGCCGAGTTCCTGACAAAATTTCTGCTTCCATTGAGCCTCAGATGACGGCAGCCAATTACGGATGCCCACCAGGTACTTGTGGATCAGCTTGTCGTTCCGGTCATTACTGCAACAAACTGTTTGGTCGTGTCGCTGCTGTGGAGGATGGTGTTTCGAAGGAGCCGTTGGCTTCCGAGGAACCTGTGCCTACGAGGGGGGGTTAGATGGGGATGGTATGGAGGGGGAAGGTATGAGAATCTTGAGACTTTGATCGAAAGGAGTGGTATGGTGGTATGCGGAAAGAGTGTGAAGATGGTGGACTGAGGTCTTTGCTAGTCTAGCTACTCACCTCTAGCACAGGACCAAAAGACACTTTACTCACCTTTATCACTGGCAACGAAAACACGTGATAAACCTGCAACGAAATGCAATTCTCGGCGATACTATCCAACGCTATGCTAACTTTCAACAAAAGGGTATAATGCTTTTCTCCAACTCAAAAACCGTTGCTCAATCTCTTTCAATTCCTCCCCCAACAACCAGATCATGCCTTCTCGTCCTCCATTTCCTTGGCTTCGCGCCTCCTCCGCCACACCGGCCCCATCTTGATCTCCAGCAACATAAGCGGCATCAACAAACAACAAATACCGCCCCAAAACGTATACGTCCAGCCATCGCCCCACGCACTCGCCATGCGATCGATGATAGACACCAAGATAGCAGCCAGGGAGCAGCGCACCAAATTCGTACACGCCGTCGCGCCTGAGCTACGGGACTGCAGAATATCGATGTTGAGTGTCATGGTAGTGTTGAGAATACCAATCGACGTCCAACCTAGCATAACGCCCAGAATGAGGGGAACAGCGATGTGAGCCTTAGCCTGTATCGTCCAACCCCAAGCAATGACGCAGACGATGAAGAGGGAGAGGTAGAAGGGCATTATGCGTAACCGGGCGTGTTCGATGGTGAAGTTATCACCACACCGCTCTTTGATGCGCCGATACTCCCAATCTAACATCTTGCCCGTCATCGTAGACCCCAGAATCATGCCCGCGCCGACAGGCAAATAGCAAAGCCCCAGCACCGTCTCCGACAGCTCCGGGTATATCTTTGCGAAAGCCGAAGAAATGGTGGCGGTGATTGTGTAATTGACAGCGTAGACCAGGCCGGTAAAAGTGAGCAAGACGATGACATCAGGGTACGTAAAGAGCACAAAGGGATTAACAGAGTGCTTAGCCTTAGCGCGGGAATCCGGGTCGAAAGCTTGTTTCGTTGCTTTTTGGCCGACGATAGGGAGGATAGCGCGTTGGAGGCGGGGCACAGGGATACTGCCATTACCCGCAATGCTCCTCAGGGTCTCGGGGAGGAAAAGCGCGATGCACAGCAGGCAAACAGCCACCATGATGACGATGGACCAGAAGATAGATCGCCAACCTAGACCCTGCGAAAGTGCGCCTCCGATTGCAGGTGCGATACACGGAGCGAGCATAGGACCGAGGTTGAACATGCCAAAGTAGCCGCCTCGTTCGCGGCTCGTGGATATATCGCCTATGACGCCTGCGCCAAGGGCGATGGTGCTGGCGCTGCCGCCGGACTGGAAGCAGCGCAGGAAGAGGAGCAGCCAGAAGTGGCTGGTTGGACAGAGGGCTAGGCCGATGGACGAGGCGACGAGGATGCTAAGACATACCAGGTAGACGAGGCGGCGGCCGTAGCGGTCACTGATGGGGCCCCAGAGCATAGGGCTGATTCCTTGGAAGACTAGGTACACGGTGACGGTTTGGTTGATGGCTTCGGAGGTTTGGTTGAAGGCGCGGGCGAGGGTTGGGATGGCTGGGAAGTAGATGTTTGCGGGGAGGGGGCTGAGGTGGTGTTAGCTACTGTTGTTGTATATGTCTTGACTTGAGATGAAAGGGAAGAGTGTACCTATAGAACCCCGCCAACGCGACCATGGCTACGATGAGCCATTTCTCTTTGCTGGTGTATATGCTATATGGGACTTCGACTTCACCTTCTACCGGCAGCTCAGGTGCAACAGCAGCCTCGTCGACCGGTATGGGTTCACGCTTGTTCTCTTCGTCGGCAGCCATAACCAGATTCCAAATATGAGCGCAGCAGAAGGAGATGAGCGAAGAGGGACAGCCTCATGCAAGGCGACGCCGCAGCGTCTCAACGCCCATGATAACTAACATCACTCTCCCCGAGGACGCTACACGCCCTCGTCGGAGTATCAAGCACCGCACGCAGTGTGGTTGGACGAGTGTCGCCCATCTCGGTCAAGACCGTGGGGAAGGTCCGGCAGACCGGCGAGAAGTCGGCAAGCGCGTCTATAATCAGGCCATTGCGCAGCGCAGCAAGCATGCAGCCGACAAGACCTCATGCACACCACGGCATACGCATCGCACATCCACCTCCGTCATGGTCGGAGTAGCATCCTCAAGCTACGGATGCAGACAGTCAAGGCGCGGTTATTAGACGGCTATCATGCGGTTGTCGGCTTAGCAGCGCGCGAGGTGGGCCAGATCGTCATGGACCCTTTGTTGTGGGATGCGTGCATTCGTGCATTGAAACGATTTTGCAGCGCTCGGTGCCGAACGGGTGCGCGTCTAGCCTTGCCGGGCACAGGATGCGCGAACCAGAAATGTCGTGTTTGCAAAAAATCTCTGTTGGCGATAGTCGCAAGCCCGCCACTATGGGGTAAGCAAAGAGTCATAACGACGTTGTACTGGGTGGAGCAAATGATTCAGGTATATAGTCGCGCCGGGCCTTATCGCATCACACGACTGAGCAGTTTCACACTATTAACTTCGCATTGCAAGCCGTAGACGGACATAGCGAGTGGGTCGTCAACGGCGTCTGTACCATCATCTCGGGTCCCTTACGCACGACTGACAAACTTTACACGCGCAATATCTCGGGGTGGAGCGGCGAAAACGGTGCTGCGAGCCAAGAGACCAACGGGTCCGGGAAAAGAGATGGCAGACGCCCCGAATAGAGGTGTAGGGAGTAGCAGGGTGGGGAGTGGTGCTCCTTCGCGGGAACAGGAAGACATCAAGCGGCCGAATCTCTCGGTTGGGGAAGTCGCGGGAGTGGAGCAGCAACATGGCGATGTCACGGTGGGCAAGCACGAAAGAGTTGGAGGGTGGAGAGGGGTGCTGAGTTTTCTGGAAAAGAAAGGTGATGTTGAGCTCAGAGGGTGTACGCCTGTGCCGTATGAGGATAGGACAGAGACGCAGTATTCAAAGATCTTCACGCTTTGGTTTTGCATGAGTTGTAATCCCTTGCCGTAAGTGGTCAATTGAGGAGAGGTGGCGTTGCATGATGGCTAACGGGTATGCAGTGTGACTTTTGGCATGGTGGGCACAATGTCTTTTGCTCTTAGTCTGAGGGACGCGGCGCTGGTTATTCTTTTCTTTACCCTCGTGTCGACGGTGCCGGTGGCGTACATGTGTACGTGGGGGCCGAAGACGGGTATGCGACAGCTGGTCCAGGCGAGGTTTTCCTTCGGGAAATACTTTGTTTCTCTGTTGATATTGCTCAATCTTGCAACGCTGACGGGGTTCTGCGTTGTCGATAGTGTCATTGGTGGTATGGCGCTGTCGGCGGTGCAGGACGGGGCAACCATCAACGCCACGGTGGGTATCGTCATCATCGCCATATTGTCGCTGGTCATCTCCTTCTGCGGCTTCGGAGTATTGCATCACTATGAGCGCTGGGCATGGATCCCAGCATTGGCCGCACTCATTATTGCGGCAGGATGCGGGGGTAGCAGTCTCAGCCAGCAAGTCGCAGCACCTGCTGCTACCGCGTCACAGGTCCTCTCGTTTGGCGGTCTCGTGGCGAGCTTCATGCTTCCATGGGCTGCACTTGCGAGCGACTTCTCGACGTACATGCATCCCAAGGCTCCTCCGTTCCGGATCGCACTCTACACCTATACCGGTCTTGCGCTGCCTACGATCCTACTGATGACGCTCGGTGCAGCGATGGGAGGTGCGACGCCAAACATTGCCTCATGGCAGGCTGGGTACGACGTCAACGCAGCGAGTGGTGTCCTTGCAGCCATGCTTCAGCCAGCTGGCGGGTTTGGTCGCTTCGTCACAGTCGTGCTTGCCTTTAGCATGTTGGGTAACCTGTCGGCAACGATGTACAGCGTAACACTAAACCTGCAGATGCTCCTTCCCTGGCTCTTCCGCATCCCGCGCATCTTCTTCAGCATCGTCATTACTGGGATCGTAATTGGCGTTGCTGTCGAGGCATCCGCGAGCTTCTTCCTCAACCTCGAGAACTTCATCGGCGTCATCGGGTACTGGAGTGCGGCCTTCATTGGCATCGCCATCACCGAACACGTGCTGTTCCGACGCAGCAGCTTCATGGCTTATACCGAGGATGAAGAGGCGTGGGACGAGCCGAGCAAGCTGCCACCCGGTTTCGCGGCAATTGGCGCGTTCCTGCTCTCCTTTGGCCTCATCATCCCGTGTATGGGACAGATTTGGTGGACAGGACCCATCGCGGAAACTACGGGCGACATCGGGTTGGAGGTAGCAGTTGTGCTGGCAGCGGTGCTCTATGTACCGTTTCGGGTAGCAGAGAGGAGGATATACGGGAGGTAGTTACAAAACAATTCAGTAGTAATGACCAATCAAGACTGACGATTACATGTTTGTTGTGCAGTGCATGAGGCGAGGAGATTGCACATGTTGGTAGTTTGGAGAGGATTACCGCATGCGACTAGATCGGGGGAAGTTGTTGCCTCGGTTGTACGTCTTACCCCGGAAATGCTTGGTGACGTTCACAAGCCAGCCGGAGCCGCAGCTCAAATGCGGAGACGCAGACCATCCGAAGAGACTTGAAGCTGCTTCCCTTTTGATACCCTTTCCTTCACTGTTTATCCTAACCTTCCCAATCTCATCGGCTTGCCGACTGCTCCTTCCTCCCGTCGCGACAACCGCCCGCTTCCCCTCTTCAACTCCCGCGCGACCAGACTCTGCACTCGACCATGTCTCAAACACAGGAGAAGGCGCAGGAGAAGCTCATCGAGTCGACTTCCTCGGTGCCACAGAGCACGGCGGCCCAGCAGAGCGACAATGTTGCGCATGCGCTGGCTGGCGCTGGTGGAGGACTGCTGTCCATGGCCCTGACGTATGCGCCATCGCGACAAAGCGATGCGGGCTGCTAACAACCCCCAGCTACCCGCTCATCACCCTCTCTACCCGCGCCCAGGTTGAATCCAAGCGCGCGCAGTCGTCGACGCTCAATGCCGCGCGCCGCATCATCAAGCGCGAGGGTGTCGCAGGCCTCTACGCCGGTCTCGACTCCGCCCTCTTCGGCATCAGCGTCACAAACTTCGTCTACTATTACTGTACGGCAACACACTTCTAAAGGATACTTCAAAGTACTGACGGCATCAGGGTACGAATGGACCCGCTCCTTCTTCGAAAAGGCTGCGCTCAAAGCCGGTCGCGCCTCCTCCAAGCTCACCACGGTCGAGTCGATGATGGCAGGCGCCCTCGCCGGCAGCGCAACCGTCCTCATGACCAACCCCATCTGGGTCGTCAACACGCGCATGACGACGCGCAAATCCGAAGCCTCCGACGAGTCGCTCCCGGGTGCACCCACACCCGCGCAGAAAGCGCCATCGACGCTTGGCACGCTCTTCGCCCTTGTCCGCGATGAGGGCCCCGCGCGCCTGTTTGCTGGTGTCATGCCGGCGTTGGTCTTGGTCATCAACCCGATCCTCCAATACACTGTGTTTGAGCAGCTGAAGCAGATGCTGGAGAAGCGGAGGAGGGTCACGCCCAAGGATGCCTTCTATCTTGGTGCTTTGGGCAAGCTATTGGCTACCAGCATCACTTACCCGTACATCACTGTCAAGAGCAGGATGCACGTTGCGGGCAGGGACGGGCCGAGGGAGGACATGTTGACCACCTTCAGGCGCATCATCAGGGAGGAGGGATACACTGGCCTTTATGGAGGTATGTGGAGAACGATTCGGAGGAGTACAGCCAAGGTGCTAACCAATGCTAGGTATCGGACCAAAGGTCACCCAGAGTGTCATTACCGCCGCCTTCCTCTTCGCTTTCAAGGACGCCCTTTACGCCTACACGATCCAGGCTCGCAAGAAGCTTGCCATGCGCAAGGTCTAGGGCGTACCTCGAACTGGTACATCTCGGAGATGGTTGCCGTCGCAGTCGCAGCTGTATATCGGGTTAAGTCGCGACCCGTAAAAGAAGGTCGACACTAAGGAGGACGATGGAGAGTCACATTGGGCTATAAGCACTTGCTGGAGCATTGTTATCACGGTACGTGGAGGGACCACGAGGCTTCAAAATGTATATACCAGGAGTTCCACGAATCACTATTATTGAATTGGAATGTCATGCTCATAGTGTACAGCAATTCGATGCGCCTACAACATGTTGATGCAAAAAAGACAGACTTTTTAGCAAAAACATACAACAGCGGGGATTCGCTAGTGGTCAGCCACCTAACTACTAATCCGCCGGTACAATGCTTGTATATGGCTGAGCGGACGGGAAGCCTAATTCTCATTGTCCTATGGTCGTATGTGAAGGAGTGGGAATCTTCACGAGCTATGAAATGACCAAAAAGATCTTTTCCATTATCTGATTTAGCGATGCTATCGAAAGACAAGGCGGATAGCATCCCGTCTCTCCGCTTATCGCGTCATCAGGCCCTCTGGCATGCAATCGCCTGCTGCGGGGTACTCTAATCGAGAGGTTGTCAACGCCCTACTATTGCATCTTACACATGTACCTGCAGCTTGAATGTGCCCTAGGGCGCACAAGACATGTAGGATTGGGCTGTGTTTATAGCGATGGAGGTATAAAGGAAGTATTCACCATCTCATCTCTGTCTCCCTCTTTTGTCTCGAGACCGGGATAACACAACTTCGCAAACATGAGTTCGCAGCCGTTCACGCTAAGGTGGGGTATCTTGGGTACGCACAACCAAGCCTGATTACACACGATGAGAGAAGGCTAATGGATTTCAGCAACGGGGGGTATAGCAACAAGTACAACACCCTCATCTTCCTTAACCTACCCATCCTAACACCACTCCAGCATTCACAAAAGACCTCCTCATCAACCCCCAAACCCGCGATGCCTCCGATATCCGCCACGTCGTCGCAGCAGCAGCATCATCCACGTCGGCAACCCGCGCCACCTCGTTCCTCACCTCCGTCGGCGCACCCCCCACCGCACGCGCCTACGGCTCCTACACCGATCTCGTCTCAGACCCAGACATCGACATCATCTACATCGCCACGCCCCATTCCCACCACTACCAACTTGCCCGCCTCTGTCTCAACGCCGGAAAGCATTTGCTCGTTGAGAAACCTATTACTGTGAACGCGGCGCAATGCCAGGAACTGAGGAAACTGGCGAGGGAGAAGGGCAGGTTCATGATGGAAGCCGTGTGGACGCGTTTCTTCCCTCTTTCGCGGGAAGTCTGTTCCATCATACAAGAAGGGAAATTGGGAGCTATCAAGCGCGTCTTCGCCGACTTCAGTTTCTGGAATGATGTGCAAAAGGAGTTTGGCACGCAGCATAGGATGGTGAATCCGGATCTCGCTGGTGGTGCGTTGTTGGATTTGGGGATTTATAGCCTAACGTGGCTGTTTATGGCGTTGTATCATGTGCAACCGGAGGGAAAGAGGCAGGAGCCGGTTGTGAGTTCGGCGGTTAGTAAGTGTGAGACGGGCGTTGATGAGACGACGACTGTGCTTTGTCATTTTCCGGGGTCGGGGGCGCAGGGCGTGGCGGGGACGAGTATTGTTGTTGCTACGACACCGAACGCCGAGCATCCTAATCCTGGGGGTGATGCGGTGAGGATACAAGGTACACTTGGCGACTTGACGGTGGATTACGCGCCGAGGCCAAGGACGTATACGTTAACGCCTGCTGCTAATGAGAAAAGAGGGAAGTTGGCGGACTTTGAGTATCAGGTCGTTGATAAGTTCAAAGAGATCCCCGGGGGTGGTCATGGTATGTTTTGGGAGGCGGACGAGTGTGCGAGGTGTATCCGGGATGGCAAGCTAGAGAGTGAAGTGATGGGCTTGGAGGAGACGGAGGTGGTTATGCGGGTTATGGATCAGGTTAGGAGGCAAGGGGGTGTTGTGTATCCGGATGTGATTGAGAGTACGGAGTCGCCGCTTGAGGGGTTTGGGGTGTGAGGAATGGAGGTGATTTGGGTAAGAGGTGTTCATTGAGAGATTGTAACTTTCTAATTGAGCTCATTCATGTTGAGTCGCCCGATGATGACGGTGATGTATGTTATGGGCCGCCACCCTTCGCGCCTTGCCCTGTCAACAGTAGAATCCGTCTTCTCTTTTCCTAATTAAGCAACGGGCCCAAATCAGGAAAGTCCAGTAGAGCGTCCCTCAAGGGATGCGCAACCACACCTTTCATGCCCGTGAAATCCTCCAAATGACCTCGAGCGTAATGATATTCGGGCCATTGGTGGCCATTAAGGTCGACGTCATAAGGATCCCCATCAGCATTAAGGACCTCGGAGCTAGGCTTGATGATGAGGACTCGTAGCTTAGATCCTCGGCCGGCCATGAATCTGAGGATCTTGTTGGCATAGTCTTGCATGAGGGCTTGGCAAGAGTAGACTTGTTCATTCATAGGTACTGATTCGGTTTCGTAAACGTCGCCAAAGTTGACCGTCGGGAGATTGAGGATGCGGAACGCGTTCAATACGGGGTGTGTGGAGACCACGGCCTGGGATCTTATTAGCAAATCCGACATGTGTGATGGGACCCGACGCATACCAGCATATCCGCGAATTCTTCTTTTGGGTGAAATCCAGTTCCAAGTTCTGTGATAGTACCTAGATCGCAGGCTGGCATATTGACCGCCAGATACTTCAGATGAATACAAGCCCGTAGTACAGCCGTCATCTCTGTGACAGTGAAATGGCTGCAGATCTTCGATTTTCCAGTACCAAGCATGAGACATTCGAGCGTCTGGCAATGTGCCAAGATGCATTCTTTGGCAACGAAGCCATGTCGAGAGAGATCCAGCTGGAGATCCTCGAGCTTAGGGCAGACCTTGAGCAGTGATTCTATGGCCTTGACTGAGTTCTCTGGCTCTTCGAGTTGGTATGGAAGAATGATGTAAAGATCAGTGAGTTCGCCGATGCCGGAAGTATAGTATGAAGACAGTGACTCAATGAAGGCTGTAATGTTGTCGCACGAGCTTATTCGTAGACAAGATAGTATGGAGAGATCAAGACTCTTCGATATCGCCCGGTCTCCCCTTTTACCCAATCTTAGTTCGAAGAGTCGTAGGCTTGTAAGTTTCGAGAAGAGTGGAATGTTTTTGGCATGATGAAGTATCCCGCACAGAGAGATCAACTTCTTTCCACGATCGGACATCGAATACAGATCTAGGTTGTCTATCCTTGGATGATTTTCGGAGATGGAGTTGAGGCGCTCGAAGATACGCTCTTCCGACGAGCTACGGGTTGCTATCCATAACTCAATAGACTTGACATCGCGCAATGATGAATTCATCCATGTGTGGTGTTCTCCAGAGTCAAACCTAGACGATCCTGGTTGCCCGAGTGTGGTGAAATGAGTCAAAACTTCAAGGACTTCAATTTTTCGTTGAGACTGCAAGAGATGTTGTAGCGTGAGTGTGCTCAGCTGGCAAGAGCACTCGAAAGTCCGAATGCGATCCCGTGGAATTGCTGCTAGTACCAGTCGCAAGTTGTCTTCTAATTTAGATGAGCTGCTTGAGTCAGAAACTTCCAGTTCTCGAACGTGGCTGGCAATCTTTGAATCCGGATGCATCAATGTCGCAAGAAGACGAGGAGTGAGATCGTAGAACCGCGCCTCGATTCGTTCCCACATCATGGGTGCTATGAGATCTCTACATGCGCGACTAACGAGATAGATGCTACTCTGGTCAGGCTTTGATCGAATCTGCTCAAGCTATTAGTCCTTTTCTTAGATAAGGGAGCCGCTGCCACTTACTAAGGAGAACACATTACAGACCATTTCATTCGGCAAGTCGGTGAAGGTCGCATGCGCCATGTTGTTTATGTGTACACGGGGACCAGCCGGGCATCTACGGTGTCATTAATAAGAGCAGGAAAGAATTAGCAAGCAGAGTGAGAGCAATCGAGGTCAACGCACGTGGCTCCTGCGAAGTTTGCTCAAGCCCACGTGTACCGCCAAGACCTGTAGACGCAAAAAGGGTCCACCACGGCAGGTAGGCACAGAAAGGAGCGCAATCTTACTCAGCCATGTCTTAGTCCATGCAGCTTGGAGGTAAATACTGCACCCTCTCTCTTATGAATCCATTATCAGTACCGTCGGCGCAGTGCCTTTGTACGCCAGATACTGGATGAGCAAAGTCGTCATCCACCGAGTGTGGGTAATCTTTAGGCTCGTACTCAGTATTTGCACAGTGGTTCTTGTCGTGCCTGACAATGCCTTCCCTAACATGTTGTGATGACAGTCTTCGCGAGCAGTGCCACGTCGCACCTTCCAACCGCATACCTCACCTTTGCTGACACCTCACATTCTCTCAAGCTCCACTCTCTACTTTACCGTATCCAGGCCTCATCACGTCAGTAGCATGGCGCTGAAACGACAACAGGCGACGCGGCTACCTGCCCTGGAGTTCATCAAGCGTATGCGATTCGGAATCCCACCATATAACGACGATGACGAAGATAGCAGTGCCTACACTCTGCTTCTCGGCTGTGAACCAGAAGATAACTTTAACTTCTAGGAGACGAAAGAGCCAGAAGATGACTGTATTGCTGTTGACAAATGGCCTCCGATAGCACCACCTTTAGTCAAGCAGGTCGAGTGCCATTTGCGCAGCCGCTCGCGTGACATCGGCGTATGGCACACTGCACAATTCAGCCACAGGTTGCAAAAATTGTGGTACGGGCTGGATAAGTCGAGTCGTGCTTCAATCTCTTCCTCGAGCCCAAGTTCTTGTAGTAGCGGGTGAGCCTCTCCCAAGGAACACCATCGCGAAGCGTTCGTGTCGTTAATCGCAAGAACCACTGGCCTCGTAACCATAGAAACTCGTTGCTTCTTCCGCTCTGAGCTGCATTGTGGTGTCGCCAGGGCGAGAATCTGGTTCAAGAGCGCCGGGTATTCGACGAAGATGTTCCGAACGTGCACTTGCACTATCTCCGTCGCATCTGCTGAGTGTTAATACGCGTACATATATATTGCGCTTTGGGGAAATGGAGGTTCTTCGAGCGAAGAGGCGTTCGTGAGCTCTTTTAGAGCAGTAGTGAAGTTGGTCCAGTTGTTCTCAGAAACAGGGTACGTTGTCGGCGGCGGCGCTTGATGACGTTTGAAGGCCCTATTTAACCGTCAGCATAGATAATCCACCTGCCCATGCCCCACCACGTTGAATTAGTGTTCTTTTCCACTTTCTCCTAGCAGCTAATATCAGAAAAAGACTGAATAGGTCTGCAGACTACGTTAAGTTAGACCTTGCAAAGTATGTGACCTAACATCAACGTAGGATCCAGGCCACGGGGGTGTTGGGTGTTTTTCTAGGTTGACGTGCTACCATGCCCTCTGATCAAGTCGAATTCATCACGCTTCTGACAGACTACTACGAGTTCTGCAACCGAGTATTCTGGGATGACTCAGTCGTAGTCGAAGCTCCTAAGGATGGCTGGCCATCAATCACACAATCCACCATGGCCAACCTAAACAAGACTGATGCAGTCATCGACTTGCTCCGCCACATGCCTTTTGTAGACTTTGTTGAGCCAGACAAAGCCTACGGAAAGCACGTCATCATGAAGAACACTCGCATCCAGGATTACCGCAGCGATGCGATGCAGAAACGAATCCGCGACGGCGATCTCGAATACTACGTTGAACCTATAGGCGATCCCTTACCGCCATCATGTATCTCTTTCGGTAACAGCAACGGGCGTAATGGCTACAATCTCGTCATCAACACGGCCGATGGAAACGTCTACTGGGGAGAACCTTGCGGCCTGCCCGACGAGCCAGCGCCAGAGCTCAATGCCGTGGTGCAGGAGCGCTACGCCGAAAACGAAACCGAGCGTTGGCGGCAGGGCTTCAACGTCTATCGCCCACGGGATTTTTTTGCGCTCTGCAAACAACGATTCGGCGAGCTCCGCTGGATCGGTCTCCAGACGGATATTATCGAGGCGGTACCGATGTACTGGGAGCCTGATGACGCGGACGACGAGTTCAAGTCGCTTGTGCGCAAAATGAAAATAGCTGGGTGGCCGGCAGACGGGCAAGGACGGGACTGGGACCGAGAGGCATTTCAAGCGGCGCTTGAGGTGTATAGCGATGAAGAGGACGGGGATGTCGTACAGGCGGCGACAGAAGCGCTAGACGATACTCACGTTCGCTAGATATTTGGCGTTAGTATGGAAGGGTGAAAGGACTGTGCAAGCCAAGATTGTCCGCGCACTTCGTCCGGAGATCCAGCTGCTCTCAACACAACACGGTGCGACGTCGAGATTTATGACCGAAATCAATGAGCATGAAGTCTTCGAGTGCCTCATAGAACGAGCCTCTGCCGTCGATTCGCCTTTGCTATTCAATATTTTCGCTAGGAAAGAAGATTGGAACCCATTTCTGGGATACTGGCTGGGCGTAACTGGTGTTCACGGCCGGGATCTTGCTGTGAGGCGGTTGACGAGCCTCACGACGCCTTGGTCGGTCTTCTGTCACACCTGCATGCTCTTGTCAGCACATCCCTGATACCCAGAATCCTTTTCGAAATGCAACGTACCAAGGCGGAAACATTGCCGACCAATTCGAGCTGTAAATCAGTAAGGTTTCTGTGCGTCATGGCTGGATGTGGAAAGTTATCGGGGGCAGGTGCAGAGAGATCTCAGGTAGCAGCAGCGTCGATGAGAAGAGAGAAAGGTGTGTCGCGAGAAAGGTAGGAAGAACGCGCAGCTCTTGCCGTGTTGGCGTGCTGCCGAGACTTGTTGAAGTGAACAGGGTCCTTCATCCTTCTTACGATAGAGCGCATACTGGGTTTTACTCCGACATAGTGCACGCTGAAGCATACTTTACCCTCTTGATTTGCATACTACGAGTTACAATACAGTTTTAACCCCACGATAGACATTAGCTAGAGAAGCGCCTGAGGATGAAGTCGCCAGGGTAGTTCCTCGATATCTTCTCCATCTCAACGCGCGCTGCACCTACTAGATTGCTGCCCGAATTATCTCGAACATTTCCGCGCGTGTGGATATACCAAGGCCAGAAATAACAATCTTCCATCGGCATACCTTCTTCAAAATCATCTGTGTCAAAGGATTCGACTAGGAGGAGTCTCGGGACTGTACCATACTGCGACATGTGACTGAAGATCTGATCGCCGTAGTGTTTCATGGCAGCCTCGCACGACGCACGGAAGCTGCGTTCCTCCATCAAAGGCGTCTCTTCAAATGTCTCCGAATCATAAGAAAATGTGATATCAGGCTCGCTCAGTATTTCCATGGTATGAAGACTGGGATGTGCGGCACATTGTTCCTACGATGCCAATCAATAAAGATACCAATACAAAAAGGACATTACTTACTAGTACATCTTTGAAAGCGGCACAATCCCGCTCACTTGCTTTGAATTGAAATTCGTTCCCGAGCTCTGTGATATGTCCGAGATCGATAGGTGGCAGATTGATGGCCAGTCCTCTGAGCTTTGTGCACGCCCTCAAAATTACCCCTACTTCGTCTCCCGAGTAGTAGTGCGACTGAGAATCCGGAATTCCGTATTGGGATTTTTCGATAATGACGTTACGAAGCGTTTCAGCGTGAGGCAGAAGACAACTTTTGTCGACAAGTTTGCCGTTGGAGAGGTGTAGTTCGAGATTCTCAAGTCTAGCGCAGCAGACTTTGAGGAAGTTTTCAATGGATGTTGTGGTCTCGACCTGCACTTCGTCTTCAACACCGTTATCTAGGCGGATGCACAACTCCCTTAATTTACCGGGTGTCTCAATGTACGATTCTGAGAGACTGTCGAAGAACAGCGACATCGAGCTGCAGTCCTTGAGATGCAACTTCTCTAAACTTGTAACGTCGAAGTTGTGGGAGAACTGATATAAAGCATCCGGTACCAAGCTCATTGCCTCCATTTTGATCGATGTCAGATTGGAGAATAGGCGACTCTCCGGCGATAGCGAGAGCAGTTCTTGTAATGAGATCGGAGGGTCACAATCGGCTGACAAGTTCAGCCTTTCGAGACTAGGGTAGAGGTCGATAAAGCTCTGCAGATTCCGGTGGTTCTTCTCGACCTCTTCTTCCTCGTCTTCCTCTTCGCGCTCTAGAAGAAGACTAATCTCCTTCAGTTCAGGCGTCAGCGATGCAACCCACGCGCGGTATTCCCGGGAAGCATAATGATAGTCACTCGTCGAGCCAAGGCAGGTAAATGGAGTTACTGCATAGAATTTCTCGAGCTTGGTCTGCGATCGCAACAATTGCAAGAAAACCTCATGCTGCATGTCGCCATAGGCCTGGAAAATGCGGAGTTTATCGCGTGGAAGTGCCAAGATCAACGACTCGAGACGGTTTTCCGCATCCTCATCCGTAAAGTCCGCAAAGCATAGATTCCGTACATGTGGGAGGATCCCAGAGTTAGGATCTAATAACGTCGTCAAAGAGCGGCCAGGGGAAGAGCCTTGGTGATCACCCAAGTTGAATTCAAGCTTTTCCCACAAGATAGGGGCCATAAGCTCCCGCCATGAGCGGCTGACGAGACACACGATGCCTTGATCTTTCTTTTGCCGGATCTAATAGATGTATTAGCGCTTTCTGGCTAGCAGAGCGGTAATGCCCGAAACTTACGAAAGCGAAAACATTGACAATCAGCTCAGTCGGCAGATCGGAGAACGTTGCGCTCGCCATAGTGGTGTGGAATCGTGAGCGCGGATTGCTACGAAGCTAGGTAGTGAAAGGGGGGAAGTTTGCGCGTCGCGGGTTGACGGCTCAGCATGAACATGGCTCGTGCGACGACGCGTCAATGTGTTGCCCCACCAACAGAAGGATTCAAGCAGGGAGAACTGCTCATCGTCGAACGTTCCCTGGAGCTTGCATAGTATGCGGGTGTCATGAGGGCGTTGCAACTGCGACACCAACTACAGTGAAATGATGGGATGAAAGTGCAAGGTCGAATCGGGGTCGCAAGTGTGTAGATCAGGAAGTGAGAAGGACGGGGCCAGAGCGCCAACGCGGCAACGTAGTGGGAGGCAAGAGCGAGTAAGCACGACGCGCATCTTGTAGGAATCCAAGTCAAGTATGAAGGCAACAGTTGGAAACATCATCAATCTAGCTCAGAGGCTGTCGCTCCGGCCCTGAGGACCTCGGGACGGTGTGCCATACTATCACGTGACGTCGCGGCAACCTGGCGACCTTCGAAGTTCGAGCAGTCCAAAAGCAAAGACACACACCCAGAGTATCACCAACCATAATCCCACTTCACTGAAGAGCGCCAGCCTGTATGCATAGATACCGCGATACATTAGGGCGGGTATAGACGCATTCGAAGTAGTAGCAACAACCCGAGGCTTGCCCGCTCGCAGTCGCGCCTTCCCATGCAACCCTCAGCTGCCTACATACTCAACTCCCACACCGAACGCATCTTCAACATCCCTAGTATTCGCCACTAACTACAGCGTTCCATCAAATACTCGACCCCGCCATACGCATCACAAGCGACTCTTTATCATCCTGCGGATATCTATCTGTATGCACCGCCATCAACTCCCTCTTTCCTCTCGCATCGCACACATAACCTTTGTTGAACAAATATGCAGGCCATAGGCACTCATCGAATATTTGATAAGTGATGCTAGGCCGGGTGTCGAAGAATAAGGGTGCGGTACCGCATTTCGCCATGAAGCGCATGATCTCCGTTGCGAAATTCTGGTACAGGACGCGGGCTAATCGGTGTTCTGAGGCGCTGAGTGAGTCGGGGTTGTGTGCTATCTCGATCTCTCCGAAATTTGGGAGGTTCAACATGCGGAGGGTGTGAAGCGGGGTGTGCTGGGCGAGTACGGCCTGATAAGGTTATTGTTAGCTGGATGTATGGACACGGATATTGAGTGAGTGATTCTGTGACTTACGAGCATGGCTTCGAACTCGGTCTCTACATGTGTGAGACAGTTTTGGGGTCTTCCCAGTCTGAAGTCATGAGCTAGATCGATAAGGGGTCCTAGGCTCACGTCAGGGAGATTAATGGCGACGTCTGCGAGCTCTGTGCAAGCGTTTAGAATCGCTTTGACGTCTTCCACGGCAAATGAGCGCCCTCCCCTCTCCTCACCGGTACCCAGTTCGAGTGACTTAAGCTTAGACTGAGCGATGATAGCGTCTTTGTTTATCAAGGCATGGCGCGACACGTCCAAGGTGAGCTTGTCAAGCTTGGGACCAGTCTCGAGGAAGTGTTGGACAGCCTGGATGTCGCTGTAGGGATGGGGTGAATGGAGAGGGAAGAAGATCTCCAGATCGGAAAGATGGGAAAGATACCTGCCGTCACTGTTGGCGCGTTGTACCAGGAGGTTATCTAAGAAGGGGGCCATGTCATTGCAGCCAATCAGTGACAATGTGCGAAGGTTAGCAAAGTTCATGTTCCTGAAAATCGCCTTGTGGCTCATTCCAAGGTCGATAAGCTTCAGACGGAGGGTAGTGAGACTTGTCAGAATCGGCTCTTTTATGTCATGCTGTAGGACGTGTTGCATGTCCAACCGGTCGAGTGGACGATCGTCAAAGAGCGTGCCCACTATGGACAGGGTCTGCAGCTTGGGAACGTATGTGAGAAGTTTGCGGTAGTACTCAAAAGAGTTTTTCGCAACCTTCGGATGGCAATGAACATATACAGCTAGTCCAGTGAGGTCTTTCAGGGGAGGCTCCATCGAAGGACCAGCTGTGTGGAGAGAAAGTGGCCCCTTGCCCGTGAAGGCCTCGTCGGGCCTGATGCGGAAGTTCAATTCTTTGAGCTTCCGCTGGGATTTGAGGAGCATATGGATGGTATGACGGCTGGGTCTCAACCTGGTGGCCATGAAGTGCGTGATTCGGTCGCGAGGTAGGGACGTTAACAGTAGACGTAATTTGTGCTCGATTTGGTTCATTTCAAACGAATCGCCCGCGACTCGTCGGGGTGTTGCTATGATAATCCGTCGGATATGAGGGAGTATCAAGCTCTGCGAATTGACAAGTGCTTTCATGGACTGAGATTTGCTTAGCAGAAGATCGGTGTTCAACGTGTACCACATCAGCGGCGCAAGATTAACGCGCCATTTGTGGCAAACGAGAGAAACGGCTTGCATATCCTCTTTTCTTCGGATCTCATCAAAGATCATGCTGAGCAGCTCTGTTGGAAGAGCGGAGAAACTCATCTTGGCGAAAGCTGCGTGGAGTTGAGTCGAGAGTATCTCGTGTGGGTGGAAGTTGGTAGTGGAACTGGAAGAACATTCATAAGTGTGGTCACCGGTGTCAATGCGCAGTGCGCAGGAGTCACTGTTAAAACGGTCATGGTCCTGGTTTCACAGACCTGCTTGCTGCCTTCCATTCACTGAACCGAAGAATATCTGACTGCATCACTCGACTCACGAGGTATGCGCCACATTCGATGACGACGCATGCAGGGTACTGAATATCGTTAGAGATACAGTGTGGCTGAATACGGTGACGGAGTTCGGAAGTACGCTTGGAGAATTCGACCGGTGTAGACACTCCAGAGGAGATTCTGACCGTCTCAAGGTTTCTTCACGAGGTGATGAGCATCCTAGAACCGTGTTTAGTCAATAGGAAGATTCGGCTTGATGGAGACCATTGAGGATTGTGCTAAAGCTGACTGCTTTTGAGGACAGACATTCGAAAAACTGGGGAGGGTTTTGCTACCCTGAGGTGGTTTCTAGCTTGTAGTGCGCTAATGACGCATTGCTGGGTATCTGCCCTATCTTGATCTTGTTCGCACCATGATACTGTCTTGGACTCGACGCGGCGCGACACGAGTATTCGCCCCAGAAAGGTCGTAGTCGGTGTAGTGGCAATAATCCAAGAGCGAGGTTCGGCCGGGGCACACCAGTTACAATCGCAGGTACGACCAAAAGGGCTTGGGATGGTTGCCACTCGATAGGCATTGTCGCATATTCAGTGTAGAGCGTAAATAGGCAGCCAGTCAGCGTGCAGAGCGGCGGTGGTAGGGGTTCGGATGGTGCAGCGACATGGGGGTGGTGAGCAATGGTGCGTCGGCTGATCTAAGAATAGACGGACGATGCTGGGGTACCGCTCAGCTGGCATAACTGACCAAAATGCCCCGAAGCAGGCAGGCACGACCCGCCATAGCACCTGAACGACCGCAAATTACCACCCGCTGGACCCTCGACGACGCGACTCCATAGCGCGCTGCCACGGCAAACGACGTAATCGCCCTCTCGCGACTGCCCTGACCGAGCGACGGCGCTGGGCGCATCGCATCCTATCGTTGGACCTCTTCGCGCTGCACTCGCCGGCTCCGCTGCGACAGCAGGCGCTGCGTAGGACTCCCCTTGGGGCCAGAAGAAGCAAACCTCGGGACTGGCTCTATATCCATGGCCTGCTATTGGCATTAGCGCGGCCGCGAATCATCTCGACGCCCTCATGGACTGCTGACGGGCCGAGGAAGCAGCAGAGCGCGTTACACTGTGGAGAACCATGCAGGTCGACTTTGGCGACGAGGGAGAGACGGAGCACAGCCTGCACCTGACAGCCAACGCCCACCAGCACTACGAACACGCGGGGCCTGGCAGCGGGCCGGCCTACTCGCCCTTCCGGCACCCAGGCGGCGGTGGTGTAGCAGCAATTGATCCGGGACTGGAGCAGAGCACAGGTGCCAGCCGCAATGTGCACACGCCCATTCCCCAGTCCAGTCACCTACTTCAGCCAGACAATGCCCATAACCTCGCCCACGGCTTCTACGCCGACATGCGCAGCTCGCAGACTCCCCCGGCGTCTGCGCATGCCTCGCCGCGCTTCACTGCCATATCGCCCACCAGCCAGCCGCGCCAGCCATCTGCCCACTACGAGCCCGCCGACCGCGACACGCCCTCGCGCAATGTAGCCGACGACACCATCGACGACGCCTACGCGACCTTTATCCTCTACTGCAACCCCAACTTCCCCACCACCATCGACACGAGCGAACTCGTCAAGCTGTTCCGGACGCCGCCCAAGAGCGACGGCAACGCATTCAACACATGGACCCTGTTCGAGCTGATACGCAAGCTGGACGCCAAAGAAATCAAGACATGGACACAACTGGCGCTGGATCTGGGCGTCAAGCCGCCGAACACGGACGAGGGACAGAGCACGCAGAAGGTGCAGCAGTACTCAGTCAGACTAAAGGTAAGAGCCTCACATTCATTCACAGTTCTTATATCCGGCAATCGCCGAGTCATTTTCTACACGTTTTCCGAGTTCTGGCCCAGTGGGCTCCAACAACGTCTCATGCATGTCATCCGGGTCGTGCGGCGCAGTCGACTTCAGCCTCAAACGCCTCATTGTGATCCGAACCACCTACTTGGTATCCGGCGCAGTGTGCGAACCGAGCCACTCACTATGTGAGATATCTGAGATGTACTGTTCCTCACGACTTGGTCAAAGATGTGGCCTCTGCAGGTCAGAGGGGCAGCGCATTCCGACCTGGCCCCCACTCACTTGCTATTCCATACATCATTCCGACCTTTGCTAATCATCACAGCGATGGATGCGCGCCATGCACATCGACGCCTTCTTCGAGTATCTGCTGGGCAAGCAGCACCCCTACTTCCTGCAAATACCTCCTCCTCACAACCCCTTTCCAGCTGACGGGCGGGATGGCGTACCTTTGGAGGAAGATCTGGCTATCCGCGCTCTCGATCCCAAGTTCAAACCGAAGCGCGGGCGGCGGAAAGCTGATGACGGAGAGGACGACATCGACTTTGACGAAGGCACACCGGCTCGTAAGCGCCCGCAGTTGGATACGTCAATACCGTTTGGCAACGTGCTGCAGCCCCAATCAGCGTACCCCACTAGCGCCCATCCTCACAACATGCACGGAGGCTTCCTCACACCTCAAGAAGCGTGGACTGCAGTCTCAACCGTCACACCCTCTTCGGCTTTAACAGCAGCTTCAGCACCAAGTCGTTTAGGCCAGAGCCTGACACCATATACCGATTCGCCAATGTCTGGACAACACATACGATGGCGACTGAATCCTCACGACACGCCTCAAACCCCTCATCCACTTTCCGCGGTAACACCACAATCCGCATACCCCTTCTTCGATGAGCCTCAATCGGCTGTCACGCCTTCCAGTGCGAGATCACGCTCTCGCCGGCGTCATGGCCCCGCTGTATCGTCGGCATGGTCGACCAACAACACCTCGTCTACCGGCAAGCTTCGTGGCCGGCCGCCGAGCAATCGATCGTTTCGAGATGGGCCGTATAACACCTTTCCGGCCAACCCGAAGACCAAAGAAGGACCACCCATCGACCGTACCCCAGGCAATCTGACACCGATAGTTGAGCGGGCGCACTCTGACCCTCCAGCACCCGAGAACTCCTTCCGCTTTCCGCCAACACCAGCGTCTGCCATATCGCCTTCCAAGATGGAAGGCCAGCTCATGGGTGGTGCGCCGCAGAAGCAACGACTGAGTCTCCAGGTCCCTCCAAACGTCGGCAACCCAGTAGTGCGATTAGTCACACCAACAGTACTCGTCAACGGAGAACAAAACGACTCCCCAGGCACGGCACTAGGGCCTTCCCCAATAAGCGCCGCCTCAACACACGTGTCGCCCGCACATGTCTACGAGCAACAAAGCATGTACCAAAAACAAGACAACAGGCCAACACATCAGACCTACCACCGCGCGCTCACGCCATCCGAAACACCCGCCCAGCATCGACCACCTCCCTCAATCCGTTCGCAAACCTCGCCAGACCTCTCAACTTCCTCTCCATCTCTCCCATCAATCCCTCTCGAAACACTCAACCGCGCCCTAGCCGCCGAGCTCATCCGTGCCCCGCTAACCGGCCGCCGGAAGCGCTTAAGAGGCAACGAAGCAAAAACCCTGGCCACTGCTATCCTCCAACCACTCTACTCAAAGCCAACGTCCGGACTACCTTCCTCCCCCGCGAAAGTCATGTCCGACCAAACCCTCGGCATAGCAATCAGCAGCTGCCTGGGTCTCACAAGCGCAGTCGGCATCGGTATTGGCGGACCCACAGGCGGCGTCCGTCGCGTCGAATGCGTACGTTTCCGTATCGGAGGTGATGGCTATGAAAGTCCTATCGACGACGACGAAGACGATGGGGATACCACTGGAGACAATCTAAGGTCTCACCCTGGCAACTCAGGCGGTAGTCGTATCAAAGAAACCTTTGACGTCTTCTTCGCTGTGAACTTTGGCGGGTTGACCGGAGAATGGGTTGCCAAGGGTCTTGAAATACGGAATGAGAACACTGAAGATGCGAGTGCAGAACGAAGAGGAGATGGCGAAGCCGCATTAGACAGGGAGGGTGCTGGGGCAAGTCAGATGACGCCCGCGGCCTGGAAAGCCAAATTTCTAGATATGCAGCGACGGTTATGGGAGAGGGAAGAGGAGGTCAAGAGTCTCAAAGATCGCATTCTTGAGGCTGTGCTATAAGAGGAGGACATTTCGTTTCAAGCGGGAAAAATCTACGGTGGATTGACGTTGATGTTTTTTTAATGTTTGTGTATATTGGGCGTATATTGGATGGGAAGGTTGGATTGGGTAAGGTTGGGAGGTTGGATCTGCTATATACCCCAGTTTGCTGTTTGGTATTCTTACTCTTGGGATTGGGATTGGGGATGGAAATGGGAATGGGATTTGGTTGGGAAAGGGGATGATGGGGGAGGGGTGTGAATGGATATATGGAGGGGAAAATCTTGGATGTAGGTAGCATAGCGTGTAGGTTGTCTTTGGATTATATGCATAGTATCGTTGTATCTTGATCACACAATCCCATGGCGCGCAGCTAAATTATGTCTGCATGTGTGTCGTCTCTTGATTTTCGGT